ACTACTACTACTGCTACTTCTACCACTACAACTACCACCACCACCACCAGCACGACGACTACAACGACCAGTAATACTGCTACCTACGACATGCGGGGGTACACATCTTGCTGTGGCTTGAGTCCTGAGGCTTGAGGTTACGGCCAGTGCGAGCACGGTATTCGCAATGGAATCAGAGTTCTAAGGTGCAATATCGGGGGCTGAGTTTAGCAGAATTGCTGTAAATGTATACGGTGTTTTTTGTTTTTGGGCGGGACACGTAGGAATGTACTTCTTCATACTACAACCCCAAGTCTGATAAGTGCATGCTTGGAGGGCTCAAGAGCTTAGGACCCTCATAGAATCCTGATGCTGCCCTATACAAACGTTTGAAGCCCCGCTAGCAGAGGTTTGGATTCCAACTGTGAAGGGGGCCGCACCTTGACTTTGGCCCAGGAATCGTCCAGGACGGCCCGAACAAACCTTGCTGAGTTTTGTGGGATTTAAGTATATGGAAAAGCTTTTGGGGATCGGCATAGGTCACGCAGGGATACACAGCTGTCGTAGAAGAGCCGTTGCATGATTTGGCTTTTCGTTTGACCCACAGCATTGTCGCGAAGCTCTCCCGGTGCCTAGTCTCTCTATTTCCTGCCGGCTCCGGCAGGATCCAAGGTTGTCTTTACTCAGTAACTGTGCTCGGGTTTTCGGTACGTGTTGAAGGTAGGAATGTCTGGAAAGTTGAGACATATGGCCAAGCCCGGTGATGTCAAGCCGGGAATCACATGACTTGGTGCTACCTACTGCGCAACTCGCCTGACAAGTAGGATTAAGCTATACCCCAAACCCTAATAAAGCTTTGTCACATCGCGTGGCCGATGAACTCTCTGCATGGAGTAAGGGACTCCAGCATGGAAGCTCCACCAGTAGGATCTTTATCAGACAGACACCACCACAACAGAAACCCGTAATGTTAAGGCCTGGGTATCTTAGCGTTTTTTTTGTAAGGGTCCCATAAAGCAGAAATTTCATGCCAACCGTAACCTGCAGAGCGACTTGGAGGATAAAGGGACTTAGTGATTAAAGTTGGAGGTATGTTGATTGGGATTCTATTGCAGGTAGCTAAAGTTACAGTCATCCTTAATGTCCTAAACCCCTTATAGACCCCTTAAAGAAGCTCTTTCAGATACTAAGCCAAATTGTCTTTAAGCCCCAGAACCTTAAGTCCTAAATCCTAAACGCTTCAAAGAACACATAAAGGAACCCTTGAAACAACCCTTAGAGCAAACGCTTGAAGTAACGCCCCTAAACCCTAAACCCTAAACCCTAAACCCTAAACCGCCCCAAGAGCCGGGCCGAGGGGCTTTGTGTCCAGGAGGCTGTAGTTTGCATCCAGAGCGATGGCCTTCCTGGGAGCTTCGGGTTTAGGGTTTAGGGTTTAGGGTTTAGGGTTTAGGCGAAAATTTAGGGGTACCTTATTTTGGGGTCCTTATAATAAGGATCCTACTATTTAGGGTACTATATTAGGGTGCCCTATTTTCGGAAACTCCCTCCTGAAGTAGAAGCCAGAAAGTTGGAACATTAGTGTCCTCATGCCCTTCAAAGGGTTTAGGGTTTAGCGCCAGAAAGTTGGAACGTCAGTGTCCTCATGCCTTTAAAAGGGTTTAGGGTTTGGGGCCAGAAAGTTGGAACATCATTATCTTCATGCCCTTAAAGTAAAGTGCAGGGGATCCTAGCCTTGATCATACTGAGTTCATGTTCCAACTTTCTGTCATTTACTATATGCCTGGGCTCTTGTTGACGAACTTCCTTTGATAGGGATCGATAAGGGGTCTACAAGGCGGCTAGGGCTTTGGGTTTCGGAGTTCTTGATTCGACAAGGAACCTCATATAACTTCATCTAAGTTACCATAAAAATACAGAAACCATGTTATTGGCTATAGATCCCTGTCATCCTAACTTGAATTAAGTTCCCAGGGCTTAATGACGGGGCCTTGCAAGCTACAGTCTGACGTTACCGTATGGTATACCGAAAAACGAAATTTACGGACTGCTAGTCACTATTGCAAAACATTTAGGCTTCTACATTATGGTTTAGGAGCTGTGCAGTTCACCTGAGAAAATTTAAGGTTTACAGTTATTAAGAGGTCTAGGGCACCTCATCAAGAAGCCACAATGATAAAACTAACCATATGTGTCATTCATACTCTACTTGACTCGAACTCTACTAATCCAAGTGAATCCATATATACTACTGTTATGAAACTGAGTCAAGGATGGTCTTTTGGGAGCTAACTCCACAATTTTAGTATATATGGACCCTCTGGAAGTCAAGCCAGCCAGCCGCCTGATACCAAGAAACCTACGTCTTCATGCAAGCATTTGCTTCACTTTGACATACTTTGACAAGGAGAGGAAAGCTCCCCGGACTAAACCCTCTAAACCCTAATTCAAATCCTGACCTCAAGCCCCCAAGCCCTAAACTCTGAAACTTGCAGCCCGCTTTCAGAATCTCGTTGCTGGCCAGTTGGTCCGCATCCATGGGGATGAGGCCAACTGCCACGAACTTCTGTGACATGGCCAGGCCATTTGAGCCTGGGTGCTTGTTAACGCACGTTTTAATTTCACCAGGCTAGGGATCTGTATTAAATAATGGTAACTTACAGAAAACCCCCAAACAAGGACCCAGGAGCCTTTTAGCTTGTTTGCGAGAGTCCGCTTTTCAGCCAGATCGGCTGCCCCTGCAAAGTCCAGCACTTTCTGCGGGTGCCGCACGCTGCGTACATCACCACAGAGGAAAGCCGTTCCTTGGAACTGCAGCGACTTGAATAATGGTGATGAGGAAACTTCACCTCCCCTTCTAGCGATGATTCTTCAAAGGCATGCTGTTTCACTATCGGTTGATGAGAGTATCCCGCTTTCAGAGTATGAGGAACTGGGCAGCATGTCTGCGCAGCTGAATGGAAGCGTGATGCACGTGAAGTCCTGCATGCACATTCACAAACTATGAAAACAACTCAACACGCAGAATGACGGGCCCATGTTCCAAGTCTGCTAAGCCGTACAGTCGGTTTGTGCCGAATGTCAGAAACTTCGAAACACCTTGGATCTACACCGAGCTGAATACGACGGCTGCATGTTGTGCAATTTCTGATCAGCAGGAGCCCAAATCTTTTTAGGTTAACAGCAAAACTGGATTTTGGCGATTTAAGCCTCCATATCAAGCCCAAGCAACTATCCCAGCGATTCGTGAAGTTTTGCCTCCAGAAATTCTCGCGATTGCATTTTTTCGCGTGGGTCACGTCAGCCGCCAGCATCCTCGAGAGACAGGGCTGCATGGGCTCATAGGAGCTTAATTGCACTTTATAATAAGGCTGCCGGATAACATAATGAGGAAGTAAACACTTCCTTGCAGTCCCAATGTGAATAGAGTGACTTTGCCCCAACACCCTATTGTAGCTATAAGGGCTCATCTTTTTATAACGTGGCTTCAGCTTCGTTAATACAGGGTTTACTTTCCAGCGTACGGTAGGAGGATTCCGGCCCTAGATGTGTGGGCTTCGGGTTGTGAGTTTCTGGCTGAGCAAGGGCTCAGCGTTAAGAAGGCTTCGGAACTCGGTAATGGCCCTGAATCTTGATGGCGAAAGTCCTAAAGGCCAACCAAGTCTCTGCTCAGGATCCTTCACGAAATTGTCCAGGGCAGTCTTCCAGTCAGCTGAGTTTTTGAGGATCTGTGTGATGATCTCGACTTCCTAGTTCTGAGGTGTAGGCTTCACGGTGTAGTCGCTTAGTGCCAGTACACACGCGCGCAGACACACAGGAAACAATGAACATAGTTGGAGTCATGTAAGGAACATGGGTAGTTCTCTAAATTAGGGTCCCATGTTTGGGTCCCAAATATAGTACGGCACCCTTATATAAAAAGGACCCTAAAGGGGACCCCAATTTAGAGAACTACCCACATGGAGCGGTGCTATTGAAAGTACAGGTTGCACTCATACAGAGCCTTGATTGCGGTCCTCTTGAACTGCAAGCCGGGGCCTTCTCAACTCCCAGATTTTAGGGTTTGTTTGGGGTTTAGGGTTTAGGGTTTAGGGTTTAGGGATTTATAAGGGTTAATTAAGTGGTTTGAGGGACTCCTGTCACCAGTTCCTGCTCTGGGACTTGGCCTCGACTTGCCTGAGAGAATTTGCTTATGCTCTGTGTCACTGTCAATACGAAACTTCTCAAGGCTTGTTGGTCTCACACCGTCCCAGCTCCATGTGTGTTAACTTTAACAAAGTAATGTAGGCTCGATTTGGACTACCACTGACAAGAAAGTTTGCCACAGCTCCAGCGAGTTTCTCGGCCTTTCAGCAGCTTGCGCACAACAGCCATGTCGTGATAGTGCTCCAAAAGCAAAGATGCGATGCTTGGTCGTTTCTCGAACGCAAACTTCACCAAGGCCTTTTGATTCTCTGGGCTCTTTTCTGACTTCCAGTAGTCGGGGAATCCGTCTGCGCTCTCCTGACAAAGGCCCATCGGAGCTAGAAAAGCCCACGAGGTCCAACAGCCATATTAATCCAAGCTGTAGGGCAGTCGGTTCTTTTTCTTCGTGCTAAATCCTGCTCCGGAACAGAACATCCTTCCACGACTTATTGTGCTTACTGTAAGGCCTCTGACACCAGAGCGGGCAAGCGAGACCCAACACGTCCTCCTCCATTGCCTCCAAGAGGTAAAGGAAGCACATCGAATCGTCAGCTTCACAAGCCAGTTGGATTGCCGGGCGACCTCCTTCAAGAGTGGTGGTCTTCCATTCCTGCGCAGCTGAGACTCGTCGGGCAGTCTGCAGCTAATTGCTCGGTCGTTCTCAAGGGTTCGCCAACCCTAAGGGCCCATGTACCCACATAATTAGTGACTCCATTGTCGTTTCTTATTGGGTTACATTTTAGGATCCTTCATCTAAAGCTGTTGAAACCAAAAAGCGGAAATACACTGGAGACTATAGGCAAACCTGTGAACACGGAGAAGCCCAGGGTCCACAACCTTCGCTCTTTAGTGGGCACTCCTCCTCTTACCATGTATAAACATGTTCGAGCCCAAGATTCCTCGGCTTGCTACTGGCACTATGGTTGCAACCCCTTACTTGCAGCATGAAGCATTCCTGCTGTCCCTGTTGCAGCTGTTTTTGCTACGACTTCACTGCTGCCTGTGCCACCTCTTCGATAATTCTGTTGTTAACAAGCATCGCCAGTGCTGTGATTCAAGTGAATGCCCGTCGTGCATGACTAACCATGACGCAGCGTTCGGCAGTCTAACGCAGTTGTAGTTCATGCCAAACGTACTGGAACTACTGCTGATTTACCGTAGTGCTCGTAAGAGTGGGTTTGGTAGTAGTGCTATTATGTTAGTCTGCTCCTCCCGTGCATGTTTACAATCCTTCGCTAGCATTGTTCTGGACCTTTTCTAAAGACTACAGCGCAGCTTCGCCACATTCGGGATGCTCTTCAGGCGGTACCATGAAGGGCCGGAGGTTGTGAACCCAGTCTTACCTGTCATTGATAATATTACATATAACCCGTATCGAATCGCACAGCATCCGAAACCCTATGATGCTTTCTTTCCCCAATCGCTCCCCCTTCCCAAAGCAATTTCGAGAATCACAGGAACGGCCCGAACACCCTAAACCCGCCCTAAACCCTAAACTCGGAGTGCAGGGGAACCGCAACCAGAGGAGTTTAGGACCGCAGGGTCTGCAGCCTACAAAATGGAAGGGTTACGAAGAAACCACCAGGAACGGCAACATTATAAACGTAGATCCCTAATATCAAACATTCTCTCGCCGGACGGAAAATTTAATGTTTCGGGGAGCAGCTTTAACGTGAGAGTAACAAATAATAAGCTTGTCGACGTGTTTCTACGGACATGGGCTTTACAATTAGGTCTAGGGCTCGTAAACCCGAAACCCTAAACCACTTGTCCTTGTTCTGGCCCTCCAAAAGCTTCTGCTGCCGCGCGGTGTCGAGGATGCCTTGTCTTTAGGGGTTTAGGGTTGTGGGGATTACTGGAGACTCTGATACAGACAATCCGTACGCCGTAACATACGCTGAACGCCTGCGGCTTTGGATGTCTAAGTCCAGAAAGCTAGAGATCCCCCATGCCAAGGCCGAAGCTTGACCAAACAAATCAGACCATACGTACAGTCTCCACTGCCGTTCCTCCTTGCATTCAACAACTTCAATTTTAGGATCCCATATTAACATATATATATATATATTGGTAAATTTGTTCGCTGTATGTTTGTTTCTCTATGTATATCTCTATATACATACACACATAAGGTCATCCAAGACAGGAGCTGAACTGGAGACAGACGGTTGATGGGCAAAATCCTGCATGACCTTGTATGCCTAAACTATGGGATTTATAGTACTATACTAGATTTGGGTCATGTAGAATTTTGTCCATGAACAGGAGGTAAACCACCAAACTCATGAAAGCAAGGAGCCTTTCACAGCCTCTGCGTTGCCCAGACGGGCAGCGTGGTGCAGTGAAGTGAAGCCGTTCCAGAGGAGGGACGGATTGGCCCGTTTTTCCAGTAGGACCTTCACCACTTCCGCATACCACGAACCTTCAACCCCGAACCAAACAAAAACGAAACTCCCCGAACCAAATTCTTGCCCAAACAGTGAGGGTAGGAAGAGGGAAGCTTCGGTTTCGGCAAGCAGAAGCTAACTTTAGACTGCCACATCTCGACCTTCGGCCCGTCCGGGTGACCGTCGCGACTAATCCATACATCCCGCCATCGACCTTGTGATGCCAGAACTTCCTAACCGTTCTAGCTCCAACAGAGCTGTTTCCGCCTTCTCCCTTTCCTAGACATCTACTCCTGCAGAGCTTGCAATTTCTTTGGTGCTTGCCGCCCCCTCAGGCACGAATCCAAGCGGTGTCGTTGTCGCGGACACAGGCAGGAACCAAGACTCGAATCGCGAACCGAGGCGCGGTCAAAAGACACAAGACCTCTAAACAAATATGCTACTAGTAGCGGAATTACAAGGGGCGGGCCTCAGTGCTTCTAGCACCATCTGCAGGATGCCCTCGCTTTCAGACACCCATTACCCCATGCACACCGCAAATCCCCCTCGTCGGCCTTGATCACCTCTGGCCGGTGGTACCAAATCTGAGCGACATGTTGTTGAGGAGGCTTCGCACTACGACACATCGTTTCACATAGCTCGGGATCGCGGTTTAAGGTTTCAGATAAGGAAGTCAACTTTTTGTTGTATTGACCGTCGTCGTGCACTGTGTCGTGCCGTTCCTGCCTCTGGCAACTGTTTTCGGCGTCTAATATAGGGGCCTTACAACTTAGGAAAGGGTTTTGGTGGCATTATAGTATAGTTGTAGTAAGGAGTGTTAAGCAGTAATATTGGTAGATCTGTTTGGGCTGCTCTATTAGCGACATCCTAGCCGAGAGTCCCGGCAGCTTTTTACTGGACCAGAACAAATCATCGAACCCTGTATAGAGCACCACGGACCCATAACAAAAGCAGCTGCAAATTTGCATGTAGCAGAAAGGTGTGTTCCGCTGTCAAGCAGTTGCCCGAACTGGCCCTTGTAGTGGGACCCTTTTAAAAGGTTTCTGACCTCCTGATGCTGTAACTAAAACATGTAGCAATCTCAGTCGAGATTAAACTGCCTTGTAGATGACGGGTTTGCCGTTTAGGATATGGTGCACGATTTCCTAACTGCTTGCCACTTCCCTTCCTGCTTCTGAGGACGGACACAGAATGTTGGCAGTAGCCTCTGCAACAAGTCCACAAGCCTCAAACACCAAACCACAAGGCCCTGACCAAAATTCAATTGTCAATACGCATGAAAATCCCCAAACACGCTGGACTGTAATCTCTGAAGTCACCTGTGCAAGCTGGGCGCTGCTACATGCAGCGAAGTGCTCTTCGACTTTTCTCCTTCTTTTTCCTGTTCGTTTATGTCCGCCCCCGCCTGGAAGACGCTCCAAGGGCGGAAGATGCTGAGGCTTTACAGTACTTAGGCTTGTTCAGGCGGTGGCTCTCGGGTTTGGGAGCGTAGGACCTCGAGCATGTAGATTCAAAAGTGCCGACGCCATGCATTTAACGGGGGCTTCGGGATCGCATGGATTTAGGGTTTAGGGTTTAGAGCCTAAACCCTAAACCCTAAACCCCTAAACCCTAAACCCTAAACAGGGCTTCAAGCTTGGGATGCTGGAGGGCTGAAGTGGTTCAGAGCCTTGGAATGAAGTAAACTTCGGGTTCATTTAACATAGGAGCCTAATTACCTATACTATTGTTGGGCGTTCCTTATTGTAATCATAGTATAATATACACCGGATATCACCGGAACCCTATTCTAATTATTGAAGCCCCTATATTACCGTGTCTGTTCGTTGGTTACACGGCTTCAAGTCAAAGCTTAGGAGCTTTTGGGCTGACATGGGGGTTACTTGAAAAGGTGACAAACGTGTTCCAAAGGTCAGATGCTAGCCATATGGGCTAAACCTTCCTGCAGGCCTCCATCCTACCTACAGTCTCCAACGTAGTTCCTTTTAGGGGATACCTTCTAGGATCCTAAATACAAAGCTGCTTCAACCAGACAGAGGAACTACCGTGGAGACTCACATGAGTCAAGGTGGAAGCCCAAAGCAGAAGCAAGCTTTGGTCCTCTAAGAGTTTCCGCACAAGCGCTGCATTCCCGTAGAAGGTCCTCGGCCCCCAGCAAGCAAATATCCAAGCTTGAGCTTGGAAGCTTGCTCCCATAAGGAAACAAGGTTCAAACAACAAAAAGGTTAGGATCTAGGGTTTAGGGTCGTAGGGTTTACGTTAACGGCACTGATAAGGAAAGACCAATACAGTAATTCGAAAGCATAATTGCTGCAGAGCCCAGGGTCGCGACATGGAGGGCGTGGACTCGCTTCCCACCTTGTACGCCCCACCAGTCCTGTAGTGCAATATCAGTAGTAAGAGTCAGTAACACTCTTGCCTGAGGCGTAGGCGGACTCGGTTACCCTAAACCCTAAACCCCTAAAACCTAAGCCCCGAACCCCTTACTCTATACAAATCCTGCAGCTCCCGCTGCGGCACGGTAAACATCTTCGACAAAAGTGCTGCGTTGTTGTGGTCTCACTGTGAGTTTAAGGACTATGGGGTTTCGGGTTTAGGGGTGTAGGGTTCAGGGCATTGCCGAATTCTACAAAGCCAAGCCTGTGGAGCTCCCGAGTGTGATGAATCATGCCCACCGCTGTGCAGTGTCTACCCATAGGCCCCATAGTAGTTCCTTTTTGGGGTTCATATTTAGAATCCCATAAGGTAATCCGCAAAAGGAACTACTATGGGGCCTATGGGTATTTTGGCATGTTTCTTGGTTCGGAGTTGTTCGGGCTTTAGGGGTTGAGGGTTGGCTTGCAGGTTTGAGGGGGATGCTGGCCTGTTGGATGTGGCGGAAACGAGTTCAGGGATTTTGAAGGTGAAACAAGTTGCTTCACAGGAGGATGCTCCAATAGTACACTCATCAAATGAATCCCATAAGCCGTAATACAGCAGAGGATAACTCCCATGCAAAGGTTACCGCTTATAAATTCGCACGGAGGCCTCTAGGACACAACTGCGCCACTTCGGGGCTGCAAGAACTTGACTATTGTGAGCATAGACCCGCACTAAGCCGGCAGGCAGAGTTCACTGTCTCAAAGCTCTTTTGAGCAAAAGACATATGTCCAGCTGACCTGCATGCGCAGTAGTTCATCTGGACAAGGTAGAAAGCGCGTCTAAAGATCGACATGTCCCATGCTTTCGGAGAAGTCTTTGTTGCTGGACAGCACGAAGGCTGCGAAGCTTACAAGCAAAAAACAGCCAAAAGCAAAACGTTTTCCAGACCAAAGGCAGGGTTCGTCGGGAGTCATCTTGGACAGCACTGCATCTACCTGCTCCGCATTGAGACTTTCCATCGCGCAATACCTGAGCCAGGTCTAATGGCCCAATATTCAACATGCTATGATGTGTCGGCGGAATGGTGGAACAGCTCTGAGCACTCGACATTTGGACCAAGAAATCCTCAACTCTTTACCAATTAGCCTATACTTTTCGAGGTGCTGATGGAGCAACGACGTGGACTTGTACTGCTCGTCCTTGTATTCGAACTCGAACTCCTGCAAACTCTGTCTTTCTACACGTGCCACCCCACCTTGCAGAAGTCCCGAATTCCAGCATCAAAGAATATGCCACTAACAGCAGGAACAAGGACAATTACATGGCAGTTGCCTAGGATTCCCCAGTCACCTGGGAATAAAAGGGCTCCCTTTTTGGTCTTGGGCAGTTTTACAAGGAACCTACGACCACGAAAAAGGGAAATGGCCCAACTTGGAGATCTAGTTACAAAGTACCGGGCCCCAACCCTAAACCCTAAACCCAAAACCAACGGCCAAGCTGGTGAAGAAGAATCTCCCATTCAGGAACTGTATTCCCAACGGTTCCTCCTCTCACAGGACTGTTAGAAAGAGTATAAAACCCTACTGTAACCTTTTCCCCTAAACTCTGTAGGGTTCAAGGTTGTAGGGTTTTTTATACATGTGTATATAGATATAGATATATATATATATATATATATGTACAAACCCAAACCCTGTAACCCGAAACCCCAGATTGTAGTACAACCCCGGCATTGGCATGGGGTCTGCTTCAGGAGCTTCTTGCTCTGCAAGGCCCAGTCTTCAGATACTTTATTTATGCTCTACAGAGTTGGGGCCACAAATATAGGTTCTATTATAACTTTTACCATTTATCTAATTTCTCTACAACCTTATACTACTTGTTTATGATTCATCTATCGTTTGTGTTTATCATGTTTGTTCTGTTTTGGAGGCCCCGCCGAGCCCCCTGGCCCGGCAAGCTTGCCGGGGGGCTTTTAAACCCTAAACCCTAAACCGGTTTAGGGTTTAGGGTAAACCATCACAATAGACAAAGATAAACACATTGATAACAATATTAACAGTCCAGCAACAGTGCTGTTTTCTTGCCTCTCACAGGAGTGCCGGCGCCTCCGTAGGCCTTCCAAAACGATAAACAACTGATAATCCCAAATCATAAGTACATGATAAACCCAAAACCCTAAACCCCTAAACTCTAAACCCTAAACTTTTCCAACCTCTGCAGGCCAGAGAATCTCTTAATCCTAATTCTTACGCCGCCCTGAACCGCAGCGGACCCCACTGAGGATCCTCATCGAGAACCCCGCGCCCACTACCCCTTGATGCGGGGACATAATCTAAATCATATATGGGGGTTTCCAAAAACAAGGGACCCTAATATAGTACCCTAAATAATAGGATCCCTATTATAAGGACCCCCAAATAAGGTACCCTAATTTTCTGAAACTCCCATATGAAGAAAGCCCTTGAAGTTTTTACAACTCCCAAACCCCTAGGAAACAAGCAGAGCACTTTCTGGTTTCCTTCCCCTCGGCCACAGTCTCAGTCGGGGTGGGAGCTTGGCAGCCAGGTGTCTTCCTCAACGGAAGGCTTAACATTGGGGACGCAGGCTCTGTTTCAGCTGAGGATTGGGGGATGTAGAGGGCGTAGGGTTTGGAGATTCATTGAAGACTTAG